AGAAAAGTTTAATCTCTGCTCATTCTACTCTTGGTACTTTTAACAGTGGCATGAGTTAGACAGTACTATGTTGCCTTATAACATATGACCTTTATGGGTCCAAAGTGCAATACCTTACATTCCACCAACCAATATAGAGTCCTTAAAGTGTGATTTCATCTGCTGAGCTATAACTGAAGTGGTTATTGCTTCCAATATCGTGAAATGAAGTACTCAGATCTCATTGCTTGGTACACTTATTTCTTCTTTGCTTTGACATCATTTAGGTGCGTATGTATGAGAAATATAGTGAACGGAACTCTTGGAAGTTTGCTCCAATCTCTTGCTCTGAGGTAAATATGAGCTAAATTCTAATTGACATCAACTTCTTCATTTTCAAAAAAGAAATAATTTCTTCCTCTAACCTATTAAACATCATTTTTGTTCAAGGCTGAAAAAGGAGGATTTAAAACATATGTAATGGAGATCAAAGGCAACCGAGTCTATAGTAAATTGAAATATGAATCTGGTGTTCATCGAGTTCAACGTGTACCACTAACAGAAACTCAAGGCCGTGTTCACACTTCTACTGCAACAGTTGCTATCATGCCAGAGGTCAGTTATCCACATGTTCACTCAAAATTATCTCCTATTTAGTCTAGCTTAATATGACCATCTTTTTTAGTGAGAAGTATTGAAAACAGCCTTGAAATTGGCTCAAATTATTAGTTTCGTCCTTGAACACTTCCAATTTTACCTAGATTTTCCATCATTTTCTTTTAAGTGTTTTTCCCCAAATATGCCTAGGTCTTTTCAGTTCCCTGTTGTTCTGCAGCTGTTATTTCTTTTGGTTTCATTCTTGATATATTATATTGTTTCAGGCTGATGAAGTTGATGTGGAAATTGACCCGAAGGATATAGAACTAACAACAGCACGTTCTGGTGGTGCTGGAGGTATATGATGATTCAACTTTCTTGTTCTTCCCTATGCATGAACTTCTTGTGCTTATGGACATGCATATATTAATGCATGATTATGCTATGCAGGGCAGAATGTTAACAAGGTGGAGACTGCAGTTGATCTTTACCATAAACCAACAGGAATTAGAATCTTTTGTACTGAAGAAAGGAGTCAGCTTAAAAACAAGAATCGTGCTTTTCAACTGTTGAGAGCAAAATTGTAAGGGACTTGATTCATATATAAATTTTTTGCTTAATGGAGTTGCTGAACTTTTATCGTATAGAAATAAAAGATTAAAAACAGAATTGCTCAACTTAGATATGAATGAAATTAGTCCTATAGATTAGGTGAGAAGCCCTTGCTTGTAAGTTGACCTCTTCTGAGAGCAACTAGATAGGTTTGCTTGAGAAAATGATATATTTACTGATGCGAACCTGAAGTACTGCTTTCTAGATCCTATAAAGAAAGTTTCTGGTGTTTGAACTGTCTACTATGTCTGGTCACCGAAACGGATCCAGAAATTAAATTTAAGGGGTTCAGCTTTTAAGATTTTCCAGATTGAACTCATTGTACAATTAAAATCATGGGTTCAAGCCCTAATATTTGTTGAGGTTTTAGTAGGTTATCCATGCTCCATGTTGAAAGTTATGGGTTCAGGTGAACCTGTTGCCAAAAGGTTACATCTGCCCGTGTCTGGATCTTTACTTCAATTCTGCAGAATAGTTTTATTTGCATGTCAAAAATTTCACTGTTTAGAACACCTTCATTTGCTTGTTTAAGAGTGGATGTCAGATATGCTTTTCATGAAGCATGTGGTATGTGTTCTTCATCTAGATAACCTTGCCATATATAATATGTGAACTAAAGAAACCTACGTGATTAAGGAAGAATTTATTAGTATTTGGCTATGTTCTATGACAAATATAAGTCCATATACTAACTTTCACGTTTCCAATGCATCAAACAATAAAGGTCTATTGTTACCTGATTCAAAAAAAATAAAGTAAAAGGTCTATTATTGTTAGCCTTATATCCTTTAGGCATGGTGATGGTTTGACACTCATGTGCACTTATGGAAGTCCACAAGTCTACGTGATTTGGGGTTGTCAAGATTTTGGTCACTGGCTGATAGAGCCCGTGATCGATCGATCAAGACAATCACTGGAAGGAAACTTGTCCAAGAGCTGATGACCCCTCTGTGTCATCCCTTTTCTTGTTGATCTTCTCCATTTGACAATTTTTATGATGGTCATATGCATATATGAATCTCTACATAATTTTACCTTGCAATGAAATATGTCTGTAGTTTCAGACTACACTATCTGCTAGTGAACTAGAACCAAATTCTTATGGGTCATAAAATTCACCGGAATAGCTGTCTAGGCTGAAGAGCCATGGACAGTCTACATAGTTCCATGTATGTATCATCTTTTTACATTGGTACATTCATGTTTTCATTACTATGTATGCATTTTCTTTATACTAACACAAGGTGATATTTATGTAAATTTTTACCATGTCCATAACTTCTGGAATTACTATTATCTGTGCACGGATATGACTTGTGGCGTTCTTCCAGGTATGAGATTAAGGTGAGGGAGCAGCAAGAGTCAATAAGAAATCAGAGAAAATTACAGGTAAGATGACTAAACCTTCATATCGTTGATCTAGCCTACTCAAAATGCAGTAGGAAGGGGACACTCAGATCAACATGCTTGGCACCATATTTTTTATGTTTTCTTTTAAATGTCCTAATCTAAAATGATATCCATATGGAACATATAGGTTCAAGTAGCTTACATATATCTACCTGCTAATCATATAAATTCTAATATATATCATCACTACTGCAAACCTTTCATATTGATATAGTGTCTGTGACAGTCACAGATCCGTACATGTTGAGGAAATGGGTTAACACAGCCTTTTACAATTTGAATGGAAGAAAATGACCCTGCAAAGATCTCTTACGTGTAAAAATAAAGAATTATAGGTAGATTTGGCATAAAACTGAATTGTAATGAGCCACAAAACCAATTGACCTGTATATGTTATAATTGTTTCCTGGATTTATATAACATGACCAAGTTAATACAAAACATTTTTTATATGGTCAATTTTAAGCCTTGTGATCTCTTAAATTTTCGTATTAGATTAAAAAGCACGAGGACAAGATATCTTGTTAATTTTCCTTATTAGACTCTTTATATATACAATGACAGGTAGGTACTGGTGCTCGGTCAGAAAAAATTCGGACATACAACTACAAGGTAATTAAGCCATAATGCCTTGAACTGAAAAGTGTACGTGTTATTCCCCAAATGAAACTTTTGGCATCCAATTAATGATTATGATGGTATAATATCCTACCACAATCTCAAACTGCAGTTTTTGTTCATAGAAACAAGTACTTTCACCGAATATGGAAAACTTTGAACGTTGTGTTTATCCTGATTTAAAAAATGATGGTACTAGTGAAGTATACTCATGGTTCTGCATTCTTTTGAGAGATGGGGATCTTTTCATCCTTCTGATCTGTTTTCTCTGATGTTTACAGGACAATAGGGTCACTGATCATCGTCTAAAAATGAACTTTCCGCTTATGACGTTTCTTGAGGGTGACATCGAGACGGCCGTTCAGGTATGTTACTTTGCTATAAGTAGCTATTTGGAAACCCTCAGTGGGATGGTAATAATTCTCATTAAGACTGTCAAGCTAATTTCGTCTTTGCGCAGTCTTGTGCTACCTTGGAGCAACAAGAGCTGCTGCAAGAACTTGCTGAATCTGCTAGCGCACCTGCTTGATAATTTTCAGTCCTCTGTTTTCGCAAGAAGTTCTATTTCTTCCTTCGTGGAACACTTTTCGCGCAAATCCCGATGGGTCCTCGGATCAGCATTGTTTAAATGGACCGTAAGGATATCATTCTTGTTAGAATTATTGTCAATATGGTGTTAGTACAAAAGAATGAGGAGATCTACTGCTGAACAGGGGCTCTCTCAGATCCATTTTTTTGGAACTCATAACACTTCAACAAGAAGTTCATCATTAAAAATCAATGTATTTTCTTGTGTATATTTCCTTCATCAATCTGAAAATCATTATATTGCTTGTGCATATTTCCCTCACTTTTGTTTCTTGGTTTCTTCTTCATGCTTGCTTAGTTTTATCATCATACTTGCTAAAAGAATGCACTTTGAAATAAAACATACCCAAGTTGAATTGGCTTATAGTTGACAATCATTTGAAAGCAAATGAATTTACCTTATATATACCATTGATATTCGGTAATGAGACAAATGATGAAAAAAAATGATATGAATGCTCCCGTAATTTTATTATCATGACAAAGCTAATGATACTGGATTAATTTAAATTTAATATATAATCAATCCTTAAAACTTAATTAGGAATATTTCATTACACGCTTGAACTAAGCTTTATTTTAATTATTTAAATTACTTCAACTTTTAATAAAGTATTTCAGTTAGATTACGTACACAACTTTTAAATCACTCATTTTGTTTTAATTTATTTGCTATCTTTTAGATTTTGATATTCGAATATATTAATTGATCCTAATGAGACAAAATCAGGAAAAAAAATCAATTGGAATAAAAGAAATCAGTAAAAAAGTACCTCGCTGATCTCATAAATTAATCACCGAATTGGACCAACAAATGGGTGAATTTAAAGATCGCGCATCAATGGATCATCAACTTCGTTCAAGAAAAATCAAACTTGTAGTTATTTTTATTGACAACAATGCGATTAAAGATCTTTGATTGTTTTAAAAAATATTAAAGATTACATTAGCAAAATTCTGATTAAATTTTAAATTGTTTGACTTTTGAAAAATAAAAAATGATACATAAAATAAAATAATTTTAATCAAATTTCATAGACTCTCAAAAATTAAAATCTCAATCAAATTACAGCTGTTTAACTCACGAAAAATAAAAAATATCACATAAAATAAATAAAATTCTAATTATATTTAAATTTTTCAACTCTCGAAAAATAAGTTCGTTAATAAAACGTATGTTACTAGATGAGCACTACTGGCACCGTTTAGCCGCAGATTTCTTCAGTAGCTGCAACGTGTCGAACTGGCTAGTCAATCATCATCACCAGTGAATCCAACAATCCTCCAAATGGCATGGAGGTTCGCACCATTTCTTCATATAAACCCCAAATTTTCCACCATTTTTGCTTCTGCAAATTCATCTTCTATGCTCAATAAACTCTTGATTTCTTCATCATCTTCCTCATTTCGGTACTTGTGTAAATCAACTAAGCCCTTTTTTCGTGTTCTTCCCATGGCGGAACAACAACAACAATCATCATCACTCAGTACTTCTTCCCATACCCATAAACACATCAATCGTCTCGCTTCTGAACATAGTCCTTACCTTCTTCAGCACGCTCATAATCCGGTACTCATTCGATTATTTTAAACAAAAATAGTTCAAATTGAAAATTTTATGCACTGATTTTTACTTTTTATTTCGTTATGGGAAGGTTGATTGGTATCCATGGGGTGAGGAAGCGTTTGCTGAAGCTCGTAAAAGAGATGTCCCAATCTTCTTATCAAGTCGGTGATTTTTTGTGTTTCGTTACATTTAATATTGAGCTTGTTTCAGCAATATTGACATATTTTATCTTCCATGTTGTTTTTTGGTTTGAAGTTGGTTACAGTACATGTCATTGGTGAGTTTTTTTGATTTTTTTTTTACTTGGAGAGGTGCTAGAAATTAGTATAATGGAAGACTAATGCTTTATTCATTGTTAAGGTGTCATGTTATGGAAGTTGAATCTTTTGAAGACGAAGAGGTAGCCAAATTGCTAAATGATTGGTTCGTTAGCATCAAGGTGAATCTGGAAGTTTTGTTCATGTTAATTATATCTTGAGCTACATATATTTGGATAATAATAGATTTTTTTGTTACCTTTACTTGTATATGGACAGGTTGATAGAGAGGAGCGTCCAGATGTTGATAAGGTAGAATTATTTACTGAATTATGCTTGAATTGCATTTATAATTGGTTCTTTTTTGAACTTGTTTCTTGGATTAAATCAAAATCATTCCAGTTGAACTTGCATTGATATGATATCTTCATGTAGGGATATCTTTCTAAACTATTTTGTATTCCCAGCATTTTTCAGCTCTTTTCTTTTTTCTATTTCTTTGGATTCAGTTAGTTAGTTGTTCTTTTAAGTTTTGGTTAATCTTCTCTTTTGTTTAAGCTGTTGAAAGCTAGATCCTTATGAGGTTTATAATGCATAGCTAATAATAACAGTCACTGTTTAAATGAGCAAACAAATAATATCCCTTTAGTTGCCAGAGAAGGGTTACTGTGGATCTTAATCTTTTTCATGTACCACACAAGTAGCTAAGACCTCCCAGGTACTAAGAGTGCTCTCACTACCACTAGTAGACGTCAGCTTGTTGGGTCTTTCCTGTACCAAGAACGAGGAAGATACAAATAAATGGAAACAATAACTATATATGGCTCTTGGCCCGATATAATTACATGTGTATTTATTGATGCTCTAGGTTATTTTCGGTAATCCTCATTTTAGTAACATGTTCTTTGGAAATGACTTGCTGCAATCACTTTCTTGGTTATCTGATGAGCAAACCGTGAATGCTCGAGTCTTTGCAACGTGATTAGATTGGCAATTTATTGACTAAGCTTGATTCAGTGATTATTTGATTTTCAATTTGCCAATAGTGATGCTATCAGCGTTGAGTAGCTTAATTTTGGTTCTCTCAGGTGTACATGACATATGTGCAAGCCTTATATGGTGGTGGTGGTTGGCCACTAAGTGCCTTCCTTTCACCTGATTTGAAGCCTTTGATGGGTGGGACTTACTTTCCACCAGAGGACAAATTTGGAAGGCCGGGATTTAAAACTATACTTAGGTGTGTTCATTCTGTACTTTCAGATTAAGTGGTTCAACTCAACTATTAAGTATGAATGGCATTTTTCTTAAACTCAATTGCTGTCGAGCAGCATCAATGTTCAATTTGAACTTCTGAGAATATTCCTGTGTACTTCATCATCATGCTTAGGAAAGTGAAGGAAGCGTGGAATAGCAAGAGAGATACGCTTATCCAGAGTGGGGCATTTGCAATAGAACAATTATCAGAAGCCTTGGCGGCAACTTCAACATCAAATAAGCTCTCAGATGAGGTTCCGCAAACCGCTCTGCGTAAATGTGCTGATCATGTAAGATTTCTGAAAATCTGTTGTTGAGTTTTCTTTGCATGTGGTGGCAAACTGGTTATTTGGAGTTAAGAGCATGTTTGGATTGGTTTATTTTAAGTGCTTCAAGTCTAAAAAGCGTTTAAGCACTTTTGGAGTGTTTGGATGAATTAAAATGGCGCTTATAAGCACTTGATTTTAAGCTAAAATGATTAAAATAAGCCAAAAGCTAAAAGTCAATCCAGGCAGGCTCTTAGTTACGAGAAGAACCACAGTATGCTTGAGAGACCTTTTACTTTCTCCTATATCTTCTCTATTACTGCTATCCTTTTCATTAAAACACTTCAGAATTCTTCAGATTACTCACGATAAATAATGCCCCTTTTCTCTGGGTAGTCAATCCTCAGTGTGGCAAGTCTTTCTCTGACTTGATCATATGACATCTTTGCATGTTCTTGAAATTTGACCATCAGAATGCTAGTTTTAAGGATTTAATTTCTCAGTTCTCAATATATGTGGTGTTGTTAATGATGATGGTCTTAACTTCCACATGACATCAACATGTGCTACAGCTGGCGGAAAGCTATGATTCAAAATATGGTGGTTTTGGTTCTGCACCCAAATTTCCCAGGCCAGTTGAGATGCAGCTGATGCTTTACGACTCAAAGAGGTCTGGAGAGACTGGAAACTCAGGTGAAGCCAAGAATGCTCTAAAAATGGTCTTATTCACTTTAGAGTGCATGGCAAGGGGTGGTATCCATGATCATGTTGGTGGTGGTTTTCACAGATACAGTGTAGATGAATGCTGGCATGGTGAGCTAATTCTTTATCTATCTATTCTGATATTAATTTTAAATCCAATTTTGTTGTTCAATTTATGAGTGTTCCTTTCCTGCTTCTTGCAGTTCCACATTTCGAGAAAATGCTATATGATCAAGGTCAACTTGTTAATGTCTATCTGGATGCCTTTTGTATTACAAAGGATGTGTATTATTCAAGTTTGTCTCGTGATATACTTGACTACCTGAGAAGGGATATGATTGGTCCAAGTGGTGAAATATTTTCGGCTGAAGATGCTGATAGTTATGAATCTGAAGGTGCCTCACGGAAAAAGGAGGGTGCTTTCTATGTCTGGACTAGTACTGAGGTACTTATAACTTCCAACTGTTTTATCTTCTATTTTTTGAGTAGTATCTTTCTTGTTTTGTTGTTTAAATTTCGGGTATTCACACATGGATAAATCATTGGTGGCTGATCATCTTCTTGACTATACATATGGAATAGTTGACCTCCAGCTGATATTGTGTCTTAATATCTAGCTCCATATGTTGCAAATCTTTGTAGTTTGGAGAAAGCTCTGATATGGTTCTGGAAAAGGACTATGTGGTATAGCAATTTAGTAGTCAGCTTGACTCATGAAACTGGAACATTAAATTGTGAACTTAGAATCTGATTGTTCAATGAAAATTTGATTATTCTATAGAAATTCATACGCATTGAATATTGATCTATAGTTAGATTATCCGTGGAAGTGTCTGAAATAAAATGGCATGGAAGGTCAACAACCCAGCCTACTTGTAAGTTGGACACTGGGCACATCCAATTTTGATGCAAGGTCAGCTATATCTAAATTTGCAGTGATGCTATATCTAAATTTGCAGTGATCCTTTTCTTTAATCAGATCACAAATTATGTAATCTTACCAAGTAGCTCTTCTCGCCAAATAGGTTGCATAAATCCTGTTTATTCTCAACTGCTGTCATGGAAAGTGTCAATTACTTCAAAAAGAGTCCAGTTGTCAGACATGCTAAACAGTTTGATCGATGCTTAGCCCAATCTACATATAGGAAAGACAGTTTTTAACAGAAATATAGTCTTGTAGGACATGGTTCCTTGCAGTTTAAAAAGTAAAAATAAGGAAACGGTACCCACCAAGAGAAATATGTGTGCCTCAATTTTCTGCCAATGTTGAGCTTGGGTGCTTACTTTATCTTGGTTCCATCTTACTGAAGGTCGACAACATAGTAGGCGAGCATGCAACACTCATCAAAAATCACTACTATATAAAACCCTCAGGTAATTGTGATCTTTCAAGAAAGAGTGATCCACATAATGAATTCAAGGACAAGAACGTGCTAATAGAAAGAAGTACTACTTCTGCACTGGCATCAAAACATGCTTTGCCTGTTGAGGAGTATCTCGATATCCTAGGGAATGCTCGCCTAAAACTTTTTGATGCGAGGTCGAAACGTCCCCGACCGCATCTGGATGATAAGGTATATTATTTTTAAGCAATTGTAAATTTTATTTTCATTATGTTTAGTATGATGAGTGATCTATTCTTATAGGTTATTGTATCATGGAATGGACTAGTGATTTCATCTCTGGCCAGGGCGTCAAAAATCCTGAAGGGAGAACCAGAGGGAACAAGATTTTACTTTCCAGTAACTGGCACCAATGTAAGATTTCAGAGCCACCTTTAAGTTTAAGAGACACGTTCAGTCTGATAAATACGCGACACATGACACACTTGTTTAGTCTCAGCAGATGTGGAAAATTGTGGGCTGGTGGTGGTAAATTTTTTGTTAAAGGCTCTTAATTTCGGTATGTTTAACGAAAATACGAATCCTCTTTGTCCTCCAATCGTGTGCATCTTAAACCAAAATCTGTGTCACTGTATTTGTCTCTGTCCATTAGTTAAGCTTTTTTTTTGGTAATAAAGTCTCATTATTGCAAAGTATATTGTTAGACATTTAGTCAACTGGACGTTCTAGATTAAGTACTGTTAGCTGCAATTACTTTTCTGTTGTTTTCTTAATTATTTTTCTTGTTATGTTCAGCCCAAGGAGTACATGGATGTCGCTGAGAAAGCAACATATTTTATTAGGAAACACCTTTATAATGAACAGACGCGCAGGCTCCAGCATAGCTTCAGGAATGGTCCCTCCAAAGCGCCTGGATTTCTAGATGATTATGCATTTCTGATAGCAGGTCTACTGGATCTTTATGAATTCGGCGGTTCAGTCTTCTGGTTGGGTTGGGCACTAGAACTTCAGGAGAAACAGGTAAGGAAATCCAGGATCTTCTGGTGAATGTGCAAGTCCTGATTACTGTTGAACTATTCTTTGCAGGACGAGTTATTTCTCGACAAAACCGGAGGAGGTTACTTTAACACAACTGGTGAAGATCCTTCTGTTCTTCTACGTGTGAAAGAAGATCATGATGGGGCTGAGCCTTCAGGGAATTCCGTTTCTGTGATTAATCTAGTGAGATTGGCCTCTATGGTTGCTGGTGAAAAATCAAAACTTTACAGAGAGACCGGAGAACATGTCCTGGTACATATGCATCTTACATTGACTATGTAATCCTTGTATTGTGTCCAGTAGTTTTTTAACCTTTGCATATAATAGGCGGTTTTTGAGAAGAGGTTGAAAGAAGCAGCTGTTGCTGTGCCACTGATGTGCTGTGCAGCAGATATGCTGGCTATTCCGTCCAGAAAGCAAGTAGTTATAGTCGGAGTGAAGTCTTCTGAGGAGTTTGAAAGCATGGTTACCGCTGCTCATGCAGCATATGATCCTAACAAGACGGTAAGTACTTTACTTGTAGTAGCTATGAACCGTTCACATCACATTGTACAACTATGGATTTCATTTCTGACTAGTACTGACTCTGAATAGGTGATCCATATCGATCCCAAGGATGCAGAAGATGTGGCATTTTGGGAAGAAACTAATAGAAATATTGCTCTGATGGCGAAAAACAATGCTGCTGCGGACAAAGTGGTAGCCCTTGTTTGCCAAAACTTCACATGTAGCCCTCCAGTCAGTGACCCGAAAGCTCTAGAATCGTTGCTCTCGCAGTAGATAAACTTCTAAAAGCAGTTCAAGAGTGTGGACGAAAAACTGGAAAGATGGAGATCAGTCTTGAATCGTTGGTCTCACAGTAGATAACTTCTAAAATAGTTCAAGAGTGCGTACATAAAGTGGTGAAAAGCTGGAGAGGCGGAGATCCGTCGTTGGTTATGCGTTGCAATAAGGCTCTGTATGGTAGTTCTGAGTTCTTGTGGATCCAACTGATCATTATACTGCAGATTATTAGTTCAAAGGAATGTAGATGAAAGCTAAGTTCACTTTTGAGTTTAATGAATGTTTACACTTGTATAGTTAGGCCAGTCCTGGTGTTAGAAAATATTTATGAGTTTCTTTTTTAACATTAACAGTTGGAATAAATGCAAAAGGTTGTATAAATTTAGTAGTTTCCTTTCATCTAAGGAGGTTGGTTTGCGGGTAAGTTATTCGTGTGTTATATTAAATTTTTTATAAATTATATCATGTTTGTAATTTAGGAATTTAAATAATTAATTAACTAATAACATGAATAGTTAGGAGTTGATTTATCTTTATTTTATACTCGATAAAAGATGGAGCAACTAATTTTTGAATAAAGAATTGATGTGTAATTAATTTTTATTTGATATAAAATAATCAATAGATGTTTTCAAACTACTCGAATATTCGTCTGTTTTTATTTACTTTTTACATTTTTTTAATTATTCTTATTTACTTTGTCAATTTTGATAAATTAAGAAAGGATTAATTTTTTTTCTATTTTATCCTCATTTAAACTTTTTAAAAAATTTGAAGTTTTAATTTATTCTTTTTGAAATCATAATTGATAAGAATAAAATTGTTAATTTCACTATATTAATTATTATTATTTTAACGTGTGTATTATTTTTAACGTGGATAACTACGTGGGACGGAAGAGTATTATTGATTTACTTTTATAATATTGCAGTTTATGTACAGCACAATAATTTGTTATAATTTTGTCTTCTTACTATTTTTGGGTCCTTCAATGCTTTTTACTGTTTGGCATATTAGACAGAATTTATCAAACACATAACTCATGTGTTTTAGATTCTCTTTCATACTATTTAGCTACTTTTTGCTTCTTCCTCACTTCAAAACATTATCCAATGGCTTCCATTGTTATTTTTTTTCCGTTTATTTTTATTCGTTTACTATATAATTATAATAATAATAATAATAATAATATAGCACAAAGAAATTTATTACTTTATCATTTTAATATATGTGATAATATTTAATTTGATACTTTTCTTTTTTAAAATAAAAAAAGAAGATTTTTTAGATGTGTTGTCTAATACACTTTTTGAGATAAATTTTAAGAATAGTAATATGTTATTCTTTTTGTAAATGACTAAAAATAAAAGTATATCACGTAGGATAAAAAGCCTATTAATTTTCTAACATTTAGATGACTTATAATATTTAAAGATGATATAGCAACATTAACATTATATTTATTGTTTTAAAAAGGTATAGAGATATGGACATGGAAGGTACTTTTGCTACTTTTACTTTTAAAATATATTTGAAATATTGTGTTATTTTAACGAATTTTAGAAAGAATTAATTGATATTATTTTATTTTATTATTATATCCTATACTGTTCAGAATATGAATAGTCAGATTTAAATATCATAATATCAATAACTAAATAAATATTTATTACATAATTTTTTTAGGTACAAACTATTTAAGTACATACAAGACAGGTAAAACAAACTTTTTTTAAAAAGTACAATCGAACTACTTAGAAGTTGCCAATCAAACATAAGTAAAAAACATTCGCATAACAAAAAAAAACTTACTCATCAAATCTTAATTAGAGATTCGAAATCATTTTTACAAGAAGCACTATATACATTTTTAAAGTGGTACTTTGAAAATGATTTTGGACGTAGAGGCGAAGATTAAGAGTTACGAATTCTAAATTTTAGGACAGAAGATTGATGGTAGAATTTGAACTCGCATTACTAATGTGAAAGGGTATTTTCACCCTCTTTCCTTATCGTTGAGTTGTCAATCGATTTTGTTTCGAGTTCAGAAGTTAACATATATATATATATATATATAGAGAGAGAGAGAGAGAGATATTCCGGAGCCTAAAGGGTATAAAATATTAACAAAAATTCTAAAACGGTATATAAAATTTTATATTAACCAAAACGGCAAAATCGCTTGAACAACAACGATTTGCTCCATTGGAAAAAGCAAAATCACTGCTACTGCAGCGATTTTGCAAAATGTGATTTTTTTTTTTAAAAAAAAATCAAATCGCTACCTAGGCAACGATTTTATTTTTTTAAAAAAAATTCTTTTTAGAAAATCGCTGCCATTTTTTTAAAAAAAAAATTAAAGAGTGATTTTCATTTTTCTAAAATTTTTTTTTATACCGTTTTGAAATTTTTATTAATATTTTATACCCTTTAGGCTCCGGACTATATATATATTTATTTATTTAATTTTCTAGAGTCTACGGAAAAAAGCTAGTGGGTCCTTCAAAACTCAAAAAAACCTCACGTAACTCCGCCTTTGTTTGCATAATGAATATTTTCTTTTATTTTTCATTTGGTATATGAAGTCCGCATTGCATAATTCATTCTAAAGTGCCGCTTCCAATGAAAAAAAATGATATTCAAAATCCAAATTCAAAACATCTAATTAAGAATAAAACAATTCTACTAGAGCGGCTGTCAAATTTCAGCATTTACTTCCAATTACTATAAGATGAAATAGAGAGAAGCACGTGAGCAGTGTCTATTCCAGATGTGTCCATCGTGTTAACATTATGGTCCCAAACATATATTTAAGTATTTTCAATTATTATCGAACGACATTATCGAATATTATAATTTTATATATATTATAACATTTTTCGATTGCTCTTTCTTTTACCAGTCGACCAAGAATGTAACTTGATTTTGTGTTCCGTATGTGTGTTTGACAGTTTAAATTCACTATTAATATTTACTAATCAAACTAATAAGTGATAGAAATTCACGGAACTAACATATGTGACGAATATAATAATAAAATTTAAACATTAAACGTAAAAACAAATAATCTACATTTCCTCTCTTAGTTACCAAAAAGGGAAACATAACACTTGTAAATTGTAGTGTAAATTTGAATGTATGTGTTAAAAGGTATATTCTTAGTTTAGTCCTTATTTATTTAATTTAGCATTATATTCTTAGTTTAGTTCGTATTTATTTAATTTAACACTACTGACTTTCAATTATACTATCTGAGTGAATCTTTATTTTCTTAAAAAAATATTTAAATTGAAAAAAGCAAGAATAATTATAAAGAAATTTTAAAAAATATTATATATATATATATATATATATATATATTAAACACATTAACTTTAGTATTGTCTTTGATAATTAGTTGTAGTTGACCATCAAGTCTCATTCTCAAACTTCCAAAAAATTACTATTTCGTGTCCCAAAATACTAATAAGTCGATCAAAAAATAAAATATTCTTCAAAAAACGTAATACATATCATATATAAAAAATAATAAAAAGTTTTAAATAATAATTATATTAAATCTGACACCATAATATTCTGAAAATAAAAATAAAAATAATCTCGTGAATAATTTCTTAATAAGTACTTACTAGGTACTAGCCATCGCTTTTGACTAGTACTAACATAATTCTTTGTAATATATTAGAAAACTATAATTAACCATCTTTTATTTTAAGAAAATATATGGATAAATACCAAATGAAATATATAACTTTTTTACAAAATGTAAATTTGTTTTAATTTTGACGAATTTGAACTATACTCTTATTTTCCTAGTGGATGGATAATCCTGAATCATATTCTATTATTGTCCTACTTTTAATAATGATAGTTATGATTATTCAAGTAATAGAATAATAAATGCATAACTGCAACTATTTCGAGGATTAAAAATTATTGGCAATAATTGTAACATGAACTATTAAGATGAATCTTGCAAAAAAAATTTAATTTTTGGTATGTTTAATTTTTCATTGTTTCTTTCTCAATCAAACTATTTAATTTTATTAATTAGACTTTCTATTAATTCTAACTCTGGTTCTTGACTTAAGATAGTTAATTATTCTGAATCTATATTTATTGTTATCCTTTGCTAATTCACATCTCTCTCTCGAGCAAGTCTTGAATATGGGTGAATTCTAATGCGTGCATTCGTTAAAAAGCGAGCAAATCGAAGATAACAACAATGCATGTATATTGACTTTGGATTACTTTGTATTTAACTTACTTCGTTATCCAGTCATGATTCCTACAACCCTAGTTACGATGCGTAGTTTCTCATGATCGTAAGAACACTAAAAAGAATTGATGTCGAACTCATTTTTTTTCAAGTAAAAAGTAATTTTTTGTATTGCCATTGTTAATAGAGCATACAGATGAAGAAGGAGGACTAGGCCTGGCCTTCTTCGGTATAAATTGCATTTGTAAGCCTTTTAGGCTAATAAGCAAAAGATTGGGCTGACACAACAATAAAATTATTTTTTCATGGCGGATCAAAGATGATAGCACCATAATTTTTCCTCCTGATTCTAAAAGATGGTATTTGTCATCTGTCAATGTTAAGTAGACCTATAATTTGTCTAGGTAAAGAGCTATAGTTAGTATAGATACAATTTTTTCCACTCTTGTAGCTCAAGGACGCTAGCTTGTTGGCAACCTTGTTAGCTACCCTCATAGAGTGAGTAGTATGAATATGGTGAGTGTCCAGTAAAAACTTGATTTTGCTAATATTGTGTCTTCAATTTTCCAAGGGCTTTGCCAGGTGCCCTGAATACAGTTCTGAAGTAAGAGGGAATCGGTTTCCCCAATGATCCTAAGGTAACCATTTTGAATGCACCAGTTAAGACCGAACAAGAGTGCATTGGCTTCTGCACAGTTGCTATCGCCTTTCCCTAAAGGTATACAAAACGCCATAATTACCTTGCCTCCTTGTCTCTCACTAACCCTCCTCCTCCGCAATTTCCTTCTATACATGAACCATCGATATTAAGTTTGACAAAAAGATGTAGTGATTTTTCCCATTTAACAGGAGTAGAGATGGTCTCCACCTAAAAGGTGAATAAAGTTATGTCAATCATCCGGGAAGGAAATTTTAGGGAACTGAAGTTTGGAGTGTTGAATGATATTAAGGTTGATCAAAGTGGTAGATTTATGCAATGAGAGTTTTTCATTTTCATACTTTACTCCACATTGGATCTTTACAGTTCCCACATAATAATAGGAGGCATAATCTTAGTGGTGTATGAAGCTATAGAATTCTTGCATTTGTAATTCTAGAAAGAGTTTGAAAGGCTTCTCAGAGATGTTGTCCTAGGATTGATGCCTAGAGCTTCTGCATAGAAGCTCCAAATCTGTTCAGCAAAGTATCCAGAAAAGAAAATATGC